TGTGTATGTTTATGTAGTGTGTTAGACTAGTTGAGGTGTTTATGTAGTTAATAAAGTCTTGCTTGTATCACACTTGACTTTGTTCATTGTTTGCTCATAACTGGAGTCGCTTAATCATGCAGATTTATGCTACAGGCTCTGTGTAGAATTGTACAGTAAGAAAGTTATTTCCTTTAACCGGAAATGAACGTTCTTAGAATTGACAGACAGTTGACCCTGAGAGGTCAAGTAAATACTTACAGCGGATCTAAATATTTATAGTCAATTATAACTAGTTATGATTAATTATTCATATTTCCCCGTGAGCTGATTCGCTACACGTTTATAATTTTGTTCAGTGTATATATATAATCTGATTAACCTAACTTGCTAAACCATGTGCTGTGTTACTGCATCAAAATTGTTAACATCAAGTTACAAAAACATAATGACTACGCTAATTTCAGTGAAATGTTTATCTTTTGTTTCTTAATGTACTATATGAAGTTCTACATTGTTTAATAATTGTAATGTTGGGATATAAGTGTTGTTTTTGGGCCATATGGGCCAATCATCCTAAATAAGGGTGTTAAGATTTATTTTATGGAATTTTTTTAATGTGTGTTGGAAACAATACATATTGATGTATTTTCCATTTCCCTTGTACTGTGGAATTGACAGTATAATGTTTATTTATTTTTTATTTTATTATTATTATTTTGTCAGATGAAGTAATTGGAATGCATTCGTGTTTGTTGATGTTCTCATATGCAGTATTTATATTTGTAACATATGGAAGTTATTTTCATGGAAACGGTGATCCTTAGGCCTAATCAATGATGTGTCAAATATTTTACAGTTACCAACAAAGGAATTAAAAGACACTGGAGAACATTTTTTTTTTCTTTGTCCAGGATAACTCAAAGATAGTAAAGCCTTTAACCAACCTTACATCTGGTTACCCACCTGTCCGGAAGGGTTGTGCGATAGCTAATGCAGATGGCAAATATCTCATTGCCAAAGATCCATTTGCTGAAAGATGGACACCTGCATGCCAAGAGGCTTTTGAAACAATCATTCATAAGCTAACATCCTCCACAATTTTAGGATCTGCTGATCCACTGTTACCTTATACATTACACACAGATGCCAGTACAACTCAGGATCGTGTCATCGCCTATGCTAGTAAAGGATTGTCACGGAGTGAATCCCGTTATCCAGCACATACTGTAAATCTGAGATTTTGGCCCTGAAATGGGCAGTTAATGAAAAACCCCATGATTATTTGTATGACAACATGTTCACTGTTGTGACTGACATCAATCCCTTGAGGCATGTTTTAACAACGGCAAAGTTAGATGTTGCGAGCTATCGATGGATAGCTGCGCTCTCTACTTTTACAGTTGATATTCAATTAAATTAAATTCAATTCAAGTTTATTTGTATAGCGCTTTTCACGATACAAATCGTTGCAAAGCAACTTTACAGCAAATTAAGTTTCTACAATATTTAGTGGTAGCTTATCAGTGGTGACTGTCAGTTAATGTACATATGTCAGAAATGTACGGAAAAATCTATTAAAGACGTAATCAAACAGTCGATGAACACTATTAACAGCAATTATAAAATAAAATGATAAAAATGCTAATTTTAGAAGAAAATTTCAGATGGCACTTAAGAGGCTTTTGCA